GACGACTGAACACTATCGCAATTTCATAAGCTGCTGGTTACATGTCCTCTAGAAGTGGCTGCCTTTTATGGATACTGATACTTTGTAAAGGACTTTATTTGGAACGAATGTTAGGTTGGTGGGTGTTGCTATGGTAGTAGTGGTAGCAGAGGGAGCAATTGTTGATATGGCGAATAGGTTTCATATCATTCATTAATAATGATTTTTTAAGTATTAAGTGCTTTATAAAAATAAGAAATTTTTCACTAGAAAACTTTTTTATTAAGCAAATAAATTTGTTATAGAAATTGTTTGAGGTGAATTTTAAAAATGTTATGTTTTAGTTTAATAACAGAACCTAAGTATGGCTGTTTTTAATAGTTTAGTTTTAAGAGCATGGATGGACGGACGCATTCAAAAAGATTAGTTTCATTTGAAGAAGGCTTTACGTTGTAATTTTAGTTGTTACAAATATTAGAATAAACTCAAATTATTTCCCATACTACCAAAGAGTACTCAAATTATAAGAAACTATAACAATTGTGTTACACTATTCATACAAACAATGTTGTTAATAACTTATGCTTCTATATTTATGTATGTAAATATTACATATACATATGTAAATATTTTAATTTATTTACATGATATACATATTTAATATTCAAAGGAGATGAATTGGAAATTTGTACACAAAAAAGTAACAACAGCAGCACTAATCAATAATTGAAACAGAATTGTAAGAGCATTTCTGTTTTGTTGCTTTTACATTAGACTACACCTTCAAAAACAGATTTATCTTGAAGTAAGGTAATTTTGATATTCATTGTCAATTTTAATGATCCATCTATCTGTGTTTTACTGTCACTGCAGAGTTCAGAGTAGGCTAATGGGTAACTTATAGAATATTTTCCATAATAATTTTGAGCTCCCTAATGTTTGTATATTGTTTTATATTGGGCTTTCTAATTTATTAATATTTTTCCACACAACAAACATGATCTAATATAAAATAAGTAAGAGTGCTATATTCGGCTATAAGGAATAGTATATAAAATAGTCTATAGTCTGGACTACAGAATAGTCTATATTCTGAACTATAGAATAGTCTATAGTCTGGACTATAGAATAGTCTGAAGTCTGGACTATAGAATAGTCTATAGTCTGAACTATAGAATAGTCTATAGTCTGGACTATAGAATAGTCTATAGTCTGGACTATAGAATAGTCTATAGTCTGGACTACAGAATAGTATATAGTCTGGACTATGGAATAGTTTATAGTCAGGACTATGGAATAGTCTATAGCCTGGACTATGGAATAGTCTATAGCCTGGACTATGGAATAGTCTATAGCCTGGACTATAGAATAGTCTATAGTTTGAACTACAGAATAGTCTATAGTCTGGACTATAGAATAGTCTATAGTCTGAACTATAGAATAGTATATAGTCTGGACTATAGAATAGTTTATAGTCTGGACTATGGAATAGTTTATAGCCTGGACTATAGAATAGTCTATAGTCTGGACAATAGAATAGTTTATAGTATGGACTATAGAATAGTCTATAGTCAGGACTATAGAATAGTCTAAAGTCAGGACTATAGAATAGTCCATAGTCTGGACTATAAAATAATCTATAGTCTGGACTAAAAAATAGTCTATAGTCTGGACTATAAAATATTCTATAGTCTGGACTATAAAATAGTCTCTTGTCTCAACTATAGAATAGTCTATAGCCTGGACTATAGCATAGTCTATTGTCTGAATAGTTTTATAGTCTGGTTTAAAGTCTATAGTCTGGACTATAGAATAGTCTTGACTATTGAATGGTCTATAGTCTGGACTATAGAATAGTCTATAGTCTGGATTATAGAATAGTCTATTGTTTGAATATTTTATAGTCTGGTTCATAGTCTAAAGTCTGGACTATAGGACAGTCTAGACCATTGAATTGTGTATAGTCTGGACTATAGAATAGTGTATAGTCTTGACCATAGAATAGTATAGTCTGGACTATAAAATAGTGCATAGTCTTGACTATAGAATAGTTTATAGTCTGGACTATAGAATAGTCTATAGTCTGGACTATAGAATAGTCTATATTCTGGACTATAGAATAGTTTATAGTCTGGAAAATAGAATAGTCCATAGTCTGGACTATAGAATAGTGTATAGTTTTGACTATAGAATAGTCTATAGTTTGGACTATAGAATTGTTCATAGTCTGGACAATAGAATAGTATATGGTCTAGACTATTAAATGGTCTATAATCTGGACTATAGAATAGTCTATAGTCTGGACTTTAGAATAATCTATAGTGTGGACTATAGAATAGTGTATAGTCTTGACTATAGATTGGTTTATAATCTTGGCTATAAAATAGTCTATAGTCTGGTCTATAGAATAGTCTATAGTCTGGACTATGGAATAGTTTATAGTTTGGACTATAGAATATTCCATAGTCTTGACTATAGAATATTGTACAGTCTTGACTGTAGAATAGTCTATAGTCTGGACTTTAGAATAGTCTATAGTCTGGACTATAGAATAGTCTGGACTATAGAGTAGTGTATCGTCTGGACTATAGAGTAGTCTATAGTCTGGACTATAGAATAGTCTATAGTCACAGACAGACAGACAGGCAAACATACAGATGGAAGGGCAGACATAGCTCAAGTGAATCCACTATCGCTAGGCAAATTACCTTATGGACATTACAAATCCAAAGACAAACTAACCAAAATGAAGGGTATAAACATTAAAATATCTACAAACTATCTATCCTACACAATACAGAATTATTAATTACAGGAAGAATTCTTAATTATTTACTTAATACATATTATATTTTCATGTAATGTTAAATAGCTTAAGGCTATATACATTACATAAACATGTGTATGTGCAAATACATACTTAAATATGTACATTTCGGATCAACCTATGAAAAAATTAACTTGATTTTAGTTATTTTCAAAAAAAAAAAAAACGATGTTAGATTGTGTTCAAATATTCATACAAATATTTTGATTTGTTTTATAACCTACAGCCTACACTATTAGTAAAGTGTACAGTGGTTTAGAAAAACTCATAGTTGCCTATTTTAAGTATAAATCAACTTTGAAACGCCTTAGCTCAGAATATATGAAATTTCGTTACAATATCTTCTAGTTCTGAAGATATTGAATAATTTCACAAATAAAACGTTTTAAAACCACTGTGAGGTCGAGCCTATTCAAATATAATTTCTCACTTGTTTTCTTATACAAGTTTTATGCAAATCTTGCAAAATACTACTAGAAAGTAATATGTATGTACATATATATGTCTATTATGCAATACTAGACATTATATATTTATAACCATTTACCTAGAATAATATTCATTCATTTTATAAATTTAAAACGCACATAAATATATGCTTGCAAATCAGTTTAACTTCAACGTTTGCCATTTTCATGCTCTATCTCTACTTAGTGCGTTTGTACTAATTCTATTTTCTCAAATCCTTTAGCTTAAACAAATCCTGTACACATCCACCCCTTCCACCTAAGAAATTTGTAAGATATTTACGTTTGACTTAATCGTATGAAATATACGAAATTCCATATAAATATTTTGTGCATACAACACATTTTTCTTTAGGTATTCTTATATTAAGATAGAATTAGAATAAGAACAACAACAACAAATTTGTCTTCTTTTAGTTCTGAATTTGGGGGACACATTTTTATTAAGATAAATATGTCTTCATTAAGAAAATAAGATGACAAAGTGTGTGAAAATTTTGTATATATTTACCAGCCCAGACTATAGTCTATAGACCTATAGTCAATAGTACCGACTAAAGTCTATAGCCAACTCTATAATCTATAGCCCAGACTACAGTCTGGACTATAAACTAGTCCAGACTATAGTCTATAGCCCAAAATATAGTCTATAGCCCAGACTATAGTCCAAAATAAAGTCTATAGTCCAGACTATAGTCTATAGTCCAAACCATAGCCACGACTATAGTCTATAGTGCATACTATAATTTCTGGATCAGACTGTATTCTATAGTCCAGAATATAGTACATACTTCAGAAAATGGCTTATAGTCTAAACTAGAGTCGATAGTCCTAACTATAGTCTATAGTCCAGAATATAGTCTGTATTGCAAATTATAGTCCATAGTCCAGACTATTGTCTATAGTTCAGACTATAGTCTATAGTCGAGACTATAATCCATATTCCAGACTGTACTCGAGACTACAGCCTGAAGTCCTGTATGTAGTTTATAGACCAGACAATAATCTACAGTCTTTAGTCCCAGCCATAGTCTATAGTCCAGAATATAGTCTATAGTCCAGACTATATTCTATAGTCCAGAATATAGTCTATAGTCTAGACTATATTCTATAGTCCAGAATATAGTATATACTGTAGTCCAGACTATAGTCTATAGTCCACACTATAGTCCATAGTCCACACTATAGTCTATAGTCCACACTATACTCTATAGTACACTCTATAGTCGATAATCCACACTTTAGTCTTTAGTCCAGACTATAGTCTATAGTCCAGACTATAGTCTACAGTCCAGACTATATTCAATAGTCCAGACTATAGTCTATAGTCCAGACTATAGTCTATAGTCCAGACTATAGTCTATAGTCCAGACTATAGTTTATAGTCCAGACTATAGTCTATAGTCCAGACTATAGTCTATAGTCCAGACTATAGTCTATAGTCCAGACTATAGTCTATAGTCCAGACTATAGCCTATAGTCCAGACTATAGTTTATAGTACAGACTATATTCTATAGTACAGACTATAGTCTATGGACCATACTAGAGTCTATGGACCATACTATAGTCTTTAGTCCAGACCATAGTCTATAGTCCAGACTATATTCTAATGCGAATTTCTCAACAATTTTATAAACATATCGTTAACTTTTTTAAACCGCCCTTAATAAGGTGCGATATATATTTCTGACAAAAATATTGAAATAAAATTTTCCTTTTTTTACAGATTACAGTTACTCGGAAGATGGAAAAGAAAAACTTTGATCAATAAACTACTTTTCTACAAACCTTCTCTACAGGTGCTTTTTAAACTCAAAAACTAAAACAATAATTTTTCTATATTAGAATTAATAAAAAAAGCAAAATACTGAGAACAACTTAATACCATAAATCAATCAATTAAATAGCAACAAGGTAAAACTATATAATTCACTTTATATGACTTTTAAAATGTCAATACAAAACTATTTGAAACTATATGTCAGGCGAACTTCCAAGTTTCTGGCTTGATTTTAATAACAAAAATTTTACATAAAATCATATTAATTAATAATTTTAGTGTATTTCAAGATATGTAATTTTTCCTTGTTGCCACAAAATTAATTAAATATTTTTTTTCACTCATTGTAAATAAAATGAAAATAATTTGTAGTAAAAAGAACAAAATAAAAAAAACTATGTATGTAATTAAAAATAATTAGCATTAAATCAAAAAAACAAAGAAATATGTATTTAATTTTACTTAAATATAAAATGTATAGCAATTAAGTCTAATTGAAATTTCAATAAAATCCTTTAATAAAAATAACCTGTGAACTATAAATACATATGTATGTATATGTGTGTGATGGAGCATCTGTATGCTTTGTTTTATTTCCGTTAGGCAGACTTTTTTATTTAAGTTTTTTGTTTTTTTCAATTGTTCTGTTTGTTTTGTTCATTAATCACACTCCCTCTACTATATCACCCTCTTTATCACTCTCTTTTGTTTTTTCTTTGGCTGGTACAAGCCATTATTAATCATTTGCTTACAACAATTAACTTAAATAATGCCACTGTTATTGGCAGGCCCATTAATATCCAATTTATTGAAGCTTTAAACGTAACCCATAAATTTATATTAATGGTCATACACTCTGTTTAAGGAGTGTGGGAAGAGATGTAGGAAGAGAGAAAGAAACAAACACTTTCAAAGAATAATATCTGAAAACTTTAAAACAATAAGGGATACCAGGAACAAAGTATAATCGGGTACATCAAAATATATCACAACATATTATTGGCAACGTCTACTAGAAGTATATTAATAGAGATTTTAAAAAATAAATACTATTTTTTCATAAAAATGCTTCCATCAAAAATTTTTATTTTGCAACCTACCTAATCACTTCTATTCTAGGACCTGCCTATTACCATAACTACGATTAAATTTTGAAAGCATACCGTGATGATTATTGTCTAGGAAATATATGAAGAGAAATACAAAAAACAGACAATAAATTAATTTGTTTCACATTCGTAGCTTAACGGAAACATTGTGTTAAATCAGAGTTTCTAAATAGTTGAGCATAAAAAAGTTGTTCACTGTGACACTTTCTTATCATTCAGGCAACATATGGATTCAGCGCCAAAAGAACTGATCATCCCTTGATGTACCTAAGGCGTATCCCAGAGAGAGTATTCTTCTAGACTAGTCTACAGTGTAGTATATAGTTTAATCTGTAGTTTAGCATATAGTATATAGCTAGTATAGTATATAGCCAAGTCTAAAGGCTAGTCTATAGTGAAGTCTATAGTCCAGTCTAGTCTATTTCTAGTCTATATCTATCTATCTATCTATCTATCTATCTATCTATCTATCTATCTATCTATCTATCTATCTATCTATCTATCTATCTATCTATCTATCTATCTATCTATCTATCTATCTATCTATCTATCTATCTATCTATCTATCTATCTATCTATCTATCTATCTATCTATCTATCTATCTATCTATCTATCTATCTATCTATCTATCTATCTATCTATCTATCTATCTATCTATCTATCTATCTATCTCTCTATCTATCTATCTATCTATCTATCTATCTATCTATCTATCTATCTATCTATCTATCTATCTATCTATCTATCTATCTATCTATCTATCTATTTATCTATCTATCTATCTATCTATCTATCTATCTATCTATCTATCTATCTATCTATCTATCTATCTATCTATCTATCTATCTATCTATCTATCTATCTATCTATCTATCTATCTATCTATCTATCTATCTATCTATCTATCTATCTATCTATCTATCTATCTATCTATCTATCTATCTATCATCTATCTATCTATCTATCTATCTATCTATCTATCTATCTATCTATCTATCTATCTATCTATCTATCTATCTATCTATCTATCTATCTATCTATCTATCTATCTATCTATCTATCTATCTATCTATCTATCTATCTATCTATCTATCTATCTATCTATCTATCTATCTATCTATCTATCTATCTATCTATCTATCTATCTATCTATCTATCTATCTATCTATCTATCTATCTATCTATTTATCTATCTATTTATTTATCTATCTATCTATCTATCTATCTATCTATCTATCTATCTATCTATCTATCTATCTATCTATCTATCTATCTATCTATCTATCTATCTATCTATCTATCTATCTATCTATCTATCTATCTACTATCTATCTATCTATCTATCTATCTATCTATCTATCTATCTATCTATCTATCTATCTATCTATCTATCTATCTATCTATCTATCTATCTATCTATCTATCTATCTATCTATCTATCTATCTATCTATCTATCTATCTATCTATCTATCTATCTATCTATCTATCTATCTATCTATCTATCTATCTATCTATCTATCTATCTATCTATCTATCTATCTATCTATCTATCTATCTATCTATCTATCTATCTATCTATCTATCTATCTATCTATCTATCTATCTATCTATCTATCTATCTATCTATCTACCTTTATACTGAAAGGCCTTCAATTGAACACAATTGCGAACCACTTCCTTGTTTTTTACACCACTACAACTTAAAACAGGCATGTGTTTTCAAGTGTACTAGAAAACTAGAAATAATTGCTTGCCGGAGTATAGAGAGTACATAGACGCAATAGTCTGTATTAATTCTCATACTTTTCTACTTAAAATGTGTCTGCAATGGTTTCTAAAGTTTCAAACATTTCTATGGCAATTGTCGAGAGTGATATTAATTTCATAGATTGTAGAAAAATCTCTTTATAAGTGTGACAATTTTAGATATTTGTGATTGATGAACTTTGATGAGATTTAAGTGCTTCACAGAATAGTAGATATGAACTTAAACATTTCATATCTACCATTTCATATAAAATTTTTTTCCAGAAATTTAACAAAACACTTTGGATAAATTCTGTTAAAAATTATATTTATTAATTTAATAACAATGGGCTTTAAAATTTTATGTAATAAATTTCTAAAAATTGCTTTTATATTTTATTTTTTAATTATTAAAAGCCATATAATGTCATGGCTTTGTTTTCGAATTGAGTCTTTATTGACTAAATTCTGCAAAATTTATTAAACAAATAAATTTTAATTGAAATTATTTAAACTAAGCTGCTGGGGAAATTTCCTAGAAGATGTCAAAGTAAATATGTATTTATTTTTTTATGTTAAAAACAATGTAAATTTACATTGTAAATTTAAATTAATTAAAAATCAACAAGTTACAAGTATCTCCATTTGTTATGTAAAACTAGTGAAATACCTAAAATTAATAAAATGTGTTCCAAAACCTAAGCTGTTTGAAGAGAATTTTTATCGTGTGGTATTTAAAAAATTTTGTGTAATTTATGTCTGTATTGGGAGGTCGTTGACTTTGAACTTCTTTTTAACACATTTTAAATATTAAAGAAGGTTATCATATAATGGGAATATTGCTTATTTTTACCATTAAATAAACATGTTTAGAACGTTATACCATTATGTGTTATATTTACAATCCTTTTATTTAGCAAATATCGCAAAATCTGATGACATAATTTGTAATACATTACTCAATAATGTTATGCACGATGGCACTATACCACTGAAACAAATATCAAGGTTCAAATGCAATCAGAAATAATTATTAAGGATCTCATAGGTACAACCCTGCAGCAGTTTGGACTTGTGTTACGTTTGTGAATATACAATAATCTGGACATTTGTCTAATCCATAGCTCTTAGTCTGGACTATAACTTATTGCACAGCTGTGCAGTAGTCTATATCTATTCTATTTTTTAATCTGTAGTCTAGTCTATAGTCTAGTCTATAGTCTAGTCTATAGTCTAGTCTATAGTCTAGTCTATAGTCTAGTCTATAGTCTAGTCTATAGTCTAGTCTATAGTCTAGTCTATAGTCTAGTCTATAGTCTAGTCTATAGTCTAGTCTATAGTCTAGTCTATAGTCTAGTCTATAGTCTAGTCTATAGTCTAGTCTATAGTCTAGTCTATAGTCTAGTCTATAGTCTAGTCTATAGTCTAGTCTATAGTCTAGTCTATAGTCTAGTCTATAGTCTAGTCTATAGTCTAGTCTATAGTCTAGTCTATAGTCTAGTCTATAGTCTAGTCTATAGTCTAGTCTATAGTCTAGTCTATAGTCTAGTCTATAGTCTAGTCTATAGTCTAGTCTATAGTCTAGTCTATAGTCTAGTCTATAGTCTAGTCTATAGTCTAGTCTATAGTCTAGTCTATAGTCTAGTCTATAGTCTAGTCTATAGTCTAGTCTATAGTCTAGTCTATAGTCTAGTCTATAGTCTAGTCTATAGTCTAGTCTATAGTCTAGTCTATAGTCTAGTCTATAGTCTAGTCTATAGTCTAGTCTATAGTCTAGTCTATAGTCTAGTCTATAGTCTAGTCTATAGTCTAGTCTATAGTCTAGTCTATAGTCTAGTCTATAGTCTAGTCTATAGTCTAGTCTATAGTCTAGTCTATAGTCTAGTCTATAGTCTAGTCTATAGTCTAGTCTATAGTCTAGTCTATAGTCTAGTCTATAGTCTAGTCTATAGTCTAGAGTCTATAGTCTAGTCTATAGTCTAGTCTATAGTCTAGTCTATTCTAGTCTACTCTATAGTCTAGTCTATATTCTAGTCTATAGTCTAGTCTATAGTCTAGTCTTTAGTCTAGTCTATAGTCTTGTCTATAGTCTAGTCTATAGTCTAGTCTATAGTCTAGTCCATAGTCTAGTTAATGGTCTAGTCTATAAGTATATAGTAATGTTATAGCCTTAACAGTAATCTATCCTACAACGTACACTGTAGTCTAGTCAATAATATGGACTAGAATCTAACTCTAATATTGAACTGAAGTCTGATCTGTAGTTTAGTCTGACAGGTAGTCTAGTCTATTCTATAGTCTTAATTGCAGTCTAGTCTATATCTGAACTAAACTCTAGTTCATAGTCTGAAACGTAGTCTAGGTTATAGGTTAGACATCAGTGTAGTTTATAATCTTATCTTTGGTAAACAACTATATAATTTATAGTTTCAGCTATAGTTTAGTCACTAATCTATTCTTCACTGTAGTAGAGATTATTATATAAATCCCTTTCCCAAATCAAT